GCCGAGTTCGGCACGCCCCTCACGCGCTTCTCCACTGGGGGCCCCAGTGGCTGCGTTCGCATGCGCCTTCCGCGCCCAGTTCGGCATACCCTGCACGCGTTTCGTTGTCCCATAAGGGAGCGTCACCGACGGCCCCAGTGGCTGCGTTCGCATGCGCCCGCCGCGCCCATTTCGGAGCGCCCCTCACGCGCTTCTTGGCGCCATATGGAGCTCCACCGGGGGCGCCACGGGGTGTTACCGCATGCGCCGATTCCCGCACGTCCCTCGCGCGTTTCGTGGCCCCATACAAAGCTCTATAGAGGCCCTGGTGGCTGCGTTCAGATGCGCCCGCGCGCCCATTTCGGAACGCCCCTCGCGAGTTTCGCGGCACCATGATAAGCTCCACCGAAGGCCCTCGTAGCTGCGTGCGCATTCGCCCGCCGCGCCCATTTCGGCACGCATCTCACACGTTGAGTAGCCCCGTGAAGAACTCCACCGAAAGCCCCAGTAGCTGCGTTCGCATGCTCCCGCCGCGCCGAGTTCGGCACGCCCCTCACGCGCTTCGTGGCCCCATCGGGAGCTCCACGGGGGGCCCCACTGACTGCGTTCGCATGCGCCTTCCGAGCCCATTTCGGCATACCCGTCACGCATTTCGTTGTCCCAGTCGTTGTCCCCTGGCACACCCCTCACACGATTCGTGGCCCCATAGGGAGCTCCAACCAAGGCCGCTGTGGCTGCGTTCGGCGCACCCCTCGCACACATCGTAGTATCATAGGGAGCTCCGCCGAAGGCCCCACTGGCTGCGTTCGCATGCCCCCGCCGCGCCCATTTCGACACACCCCTCCCGCATTTCGTGGCCCCATAGGGAGCTCCACCGAAGGCCCCAGTGGCTGCGTTCGCATGCGCCCGCCGCGCCCATTTCGGCACGCCCTCGCGTGCTTCGTGGTTCCATCGGGAGCTTCACCGAAGGCCCCAGTGGCTGCGTTCGCATGCGCACGCTGCGCCAAATTCGATGCGCCCCTCACGCGCTTCGTGGTTCCATGGGGAACCCCACCGAAGGCCCCAGTGACTGCAGTCGCATGCGCCCGCCGCGCCCATTTCGGCACGCCCGTCGCGCGTCTCGTTGCCCCATGAGCTCTACGGAAAGTCCCAAATGGCTGCGTTCGCTGCGCCCGCCGCGCCCATTTCCGCGCGCCACTCATGCGCTTCGTGGGCCCATGGGGAGCTCCACCGAAGTCCCTAATGGCTGCGTTCGCATTCGCTGGTCCAGGAGATCCGCGCGGAGATCCATGTTTATATCTTTCCCAACCACCCGTTCTCAAGAGACAGCGCCCCGCGTCCCTCCCTCCCTCCCTCCGTCCCTCCCTCCCTCCTCCTCCCGCCCCCTCCTTCCGCTCCTCCCTCCTCCCATCCCTGCTTCAGCCCTCCGCATCAGTCCACAGTCTCGGCACGCCCCTCACGCGTTTCGTGGCTCCATGGGGAGCTCCACCGAAGGCCCCAGTGGCTGCATTCGCATGCGCCCGCCGCGCCCACGTCGGCACGCCCCTCACGCGCTTCGTGGCCCCATCGGGAGGCCCCAATGGCTGCGTTCGCACGCGCCCGCTGCGCCTATATCGACACGCACCTCACACGCTTCGTGGCCTCATAAGGGGGCTCCACCGAAGGCCCCAGTGACTGCGTTCGCATGCGCCCGGCGCGCGCATTTCGGCACACTCCTCACACGTTTCGTGGCTCCCCATAAAGGAGGCCCCACTGAAGGCCCCTGTGGCTGCGTTCGCATGCGCCCGCCGCGCCCAGTTCGGCACGCCCCTCACGCGTTTCGTGGCCCCATAAGGCGCTCCACCGAAGGCCCCAATGGCTGCGTTCGCATGCGCCTGCCCCGCTCATGCAAGCATGCCCCTCGCGAATTCCGTGGTCCCATCGGGAGCTCCTCTGAAGGCCCCAGTAGCTGCGTTCGCCTGCGCCCGCCGCGCCCCTTTCGGCACACTCCTCACACGCTTCGTGGCCCCATCGGGAGCTCCACCGGGGGCCCCAATGGCTGCGTTCGCATGCGCCCGCCGCGCCCATGCCGGCACACATCCAACACGTTTCGTGGCCCCATAGGGAGCCCCACCGATGGCCCCAATGGCAGCGTTCGCATGCCCCCGCCGCGCCCATTTCGACACACCCCTCACACGTTTCGTGGCCCCGTAGGGAGCTCCACCGAAGGCACCAATGACTGCGTTCGCATGTGCCCGGCGCGCCCATTTCGGCACACTCTTCACGCGTTTCGTGACACCATGGGGAGCTCCACCGAAGGCCCCAGTGGCTGTGTTTGCACACGGCCGTCGCGCCCAGTTCGGCTCACTTTTCACGCGTTTCGCAGCCCTTCATGGAGCTCAACCGGAGGCCCCAATGGCTGCGTTCGCATGCGTCCGCCGCGCCCACGTCGGCACACATCTCACATGTTTCGTGGCCCCATAGGGAGCCCCTACGAAGGCCCCAGTGGCTGCGTTCGCATGCGCCCGCCGTGCCGAGTTCG